CCCTGCTGTAGGGGCCTTCATAATTAGAATAGGGTTTTGGGGTCTATTCTACTAAATTACAAGAAGGAACCCGCAAAAATAGTATAGGTAATTATTACCCATAGGCCCCTAAGAAGTTCCTTTTTGGGATTACCTTCTAGGATTCTAAATATGAACCATAAGTTGGAACTACTTAGGGGCCTATGGGTAGGCCCCTATAGTACTCTAGTTCAAGGAAGATGCACCGACGGAGGTGCTCAGGGCTCTTGCGGCGGCATGGAAGAAACCACAACAAGATGGATCCGTACTTGCTGAAGAGCGCAGCACCCCGCATTCAGGGAATATTACAATAGGTATTTTTAGACATAGATCAACAAATAATATATATATATATATATGTAGATATACACTCATATACTATATACATATACATGTCTATACCTGGCGTATATGTAATATGTATAGGGTTTCTCGTATTGACTCAAGGTGCATTCGTATGTGAAGTACAAAAAGTATGAGAGTCGCTGGGATAGCTTTATTGCTGAAACTCGCCACACAATTGTTGTAGGCGGCGGTCCCCGGGCTTAAAGTTGCGGGTTTCGGGGTTCAAGCTCTCCTTCATCAACCACCACCAAAACCTCAGTCGTTTTCACAAACTAGACGGAAACCCACAATCGTTTTTGCAGTTCCTATAAAAGGTCTCCTGTAGACGCAAAAGACTCAAACAGCACCTTTCGGGTTCATGTAACAGACCAGGACGCCGATGACGAGGAGAGGACGACTGGTACTGGGAGCAGTGATGGAACCAAATGGCGGCAGTACGAATGCTTGTAGCCTTAGTCATAGGCTCCTTAGTAGTTCCTTTTTGGGATTACCTTATAGGATTCTAAATATGAACCATAAAAAGGAACTACTTTGGAGCCTATGGGTAGTCACGACTATGCTGCCATCACGACCATAGCAGCAGCAGCAGCAGTAGCAGCAGCAGTAGCAGCAGCAGCCGCAGCAGCAGCCGCAGCAGCCGCAGCAGCAGCAGCAGCAGCAGCAGCAGCAGCAGCAGCAACAGCAACAGCATCTGCAATCGCAACTGCAACTGCGACAACAACAGCAGAACCAGCAGCAGCAACAGCATGCATGCAGCGGCAACGATAGCCATAATGATGCACCCGCAGTGCCGCCTGTGCTTCCGTGCGCCACCGGGGAAGTTTCGAACGAGGGAGCCTGGACAGGCAAGCAGATTGGGTGTAAAGGTTTAATTAAGGAATATACCTTAAATCTTATTAGGGTTTCCATTATAATTTAAGGTATACATCACCAGGATTAAAATTTCGTCGCACTTGGCTGCACGATCTTGAGGAGGACGCGGAGAACTAGAAATGCATTTTACGCGGCCTGGCTAGCGGAGGAATTAACCCTCCGGAAAAAGATTAAACTTCTATACTGTTCCCGTCAGAGGACTTGATGCAGGAGTCTAGGGCTAGGGGAAAAGGCGTGCGTACCGTGTTCAAGAGCGACACAGAGTGCGACGAACTTTCGTCCTACCGCAGTACTACAAAAACCCGAAAGACGGGGATGAAGGTGGGAGTCGGTAGTGAGGCCTCGAAACCTTTGGCAAAGAAGCCCTGTAATGAACTGTAAACCCGTACTCTGCTCAGGGTGGTTTAGGGGTCGGTGAAATGTCCTCTTGTCGTGCGGATTCGGCAGCATCGCATACAAGCAGAAGAAGAACATCAGCGATGTTAGTACAATGCCCTCTGAGAAGGCAATGACGGCCTCGGCATGTCAGGCGACAGTTAGTTATGCATTCAGATGACTAGGTGACAGTTTTATTAATTTCCCTTTTCCATCGCCGCTGCAGCCATGGTGCAGTCAGCGTGTCCATTAGCTGACCTCCGCAGTTTCACACTTCAGACAGTTTTTGAAGCCTACCAGCCTGAACACTCGAGCCCCAAACGGGGAAGGACAACTGGGTGGCTCATGAGGTTTGGAACCCCTCCAAATTCTGTTGGGTCTTTGGTCTAGACTCTACCTAGAGTCTCCATTGTAGTTCCTTTTTGGGGCTACCTTTTAGGTTCCTTGATCTAAAGTTGGTTAAACCAAAAAAGGAACTACAACTGAGACTGTAGGTAGACAGGGTCGCCAAGCTCCGATGACCCGGGTCACAGCATTAGAACTCCCACATCGCCAATAGATGGGGCTTCAAGTCGTACCCACAGTCTCTATTGTTGATTATAATAACCAAACTGTAAAATCTTAGGATCCTATAAGTAAACCCTAAACCCTAAACCCTGAAAAGGTAACCCCGGTAACCCCAACAAGGAACTACAATGGAGACTATTGGGACTTTGCTTGGGGTCCTTGCAAATAAGACAGGATCTGGCCCTCAAGGGTTTCATTACCGTCCCTTGAGTTTCTTAAACCGTAACCCCCAAAAGAAGGTAAAATCATGGCCCAAAACCCAAAAAGGGCTATTATTCTGCATACCTTTGGGGGTCCAGGAAGTCCAGTTTTCAACGGAAGAATTCAGCTTCTGGTTGCGTTCCGAGCAGGAAACGAGAATTTCAGGGTTTCCAGGCTGTGAAAATATTTCGAGGCGGATCTGGGGGTCCATGTCCTTGACCGGGGGGGGCTGCGAGGCCTTGGGGGCTGTGGCTTTCGGAAGTTGGGATGTCACCCCCTCACCCATAGGCCCCTAAGTGGTTCCTTTTTTATGGTTTATATTTTAGAATCCTGTAAGGTAATCCCCAAAAGGAACTACTTAGGGGCCTATGGGCAGATACAGACGTGGCCTGGGGCGAAGAGTCTTTCGGTTTTGGCTGCGCTACATTCTATGCAAATCGCCACAGATGCTCCTGGAATCCGGCAATGGACACTGCACGCACATACCGCCTACCCACCACTCCGGGGCGGGCGGAATTTTTGAAAACCGCTTGGCGGAAGCACAGCTGCAAATGTACTGAAGCACAAACTGACACTCAGGAAACACATGACTGGAGGTTGTGCAGCTCGAGGGTTTGCCAGGTGTCATGGCCATATGCAAAACTACCCCATCGCAAACGTACCAAGGCTTTGGGCTTCGCGGCTTTGGGGGGGGTCTAGTATCGTCTTCTCATGTCTTCACAGCTTCGGAGCTTCTGCAGCCATACAGAACGCAGGAAGAGTCGGTGCCTCGAAACGTGGCGAAGATGGTGGACCAGTCCATTTTGCTCAGGTCTACACCGTGCTTCTTCCTCGGCGTGATTGCGCACCCGGACCCGAGAACCAGAGTCCTGAAGGTGCACCGAAACCTTCAACAACGCGTAAACAGCACAGACATCGTCATAATGAAGTCACACACCATGGCTTGTAGCGCCTAACCATGCCTATCCGCAACAAGCAAGAGATATGACTTGTATTCTGCACTGTCTGCTTCCGAAGTAATGGGCAAGGGGAGGCTTCGGAGCTTTCTGTCTCAGACGGGGCTTGCCAGATTTCAGTGAGGTTGTCGGAAACAGCAGCGCCTAAGCCCTATACCATCTTTGCATATGCCCCTGCAGCACTGTCGATCCTATGCCTGCGCTCCTCTTTTCTAAAGGCAGCAAATCCTGGGCCTGCTCTGTTTGCGAGGTTCTGGGGCGGCCTAGGTGATTGGAAACCTGACTCTCAAAAAATTCTCATCACGAAAGATCAGAGACCTCTTACAAAATCTGGAGCACATATTCCTTGTTTGTAATCCCTTTCCCTGTTAAATTCAATGGGAGGCCGCCCCATATCAACTCGGAAAGTGTTTTTGTTGCCAGTGTGACTTTTCCATCATCTTGCTCTTGCTCCTTCTCTGGCTCGTGACACTGGCTCTTGCTCCTGCTCTCTTGCGACTGCTCCTGGGCTGGCTCTTGCTCCTGCTCTTGCTGTTGCTCGTTCTTTTGCTCCTGCTCTTACTCCTTCTCTTGCTGTTGCTCTTGCTCTTACTCTTGCTCTTACCTGCACTGCTGCTCTTGCTTTTGCTCTTGTTCCTGCTCTCGCTGATACTCTTGCTCTTGCTGTTGCTCTTGCTCTTTGTTCGTACTCCCGCTCCTGCTCTGGCGTTTGCTCTTACTGCCGCTTCTGCTCTTGCTTTCGCTCTTACTCCTGCTCTTGCTGCTACCCTGCTCTCATTCTTGCTCCTGCTCCTGCTCTTCCCCTTGCTCTCGTCTTGCCCTTGGTCTTGCTCCTCCTCCTGCCATTGCTCCTGAATCCCCTCATGCAAACTAGGTGTTAAAGGGCGGGGATGTTTTGGGGAGGATTGGCCGCAAAGTGTTTCTATATTTAGGGGGTGTTCAAAAAATGGGGGGAGGGATTAATCCCTATAAAACCGTATATAACCCTAACATAACCCTAACATAACCAAAATACTAAACCATCATAAGAAAAGCTTCAACCAATTGAGGACAGCCTGTATCTTGTACGACGACTTGTACCTCAGTTGGCCGCGCTGCCGTCTAGAGGTTAGCCCTCTAAGTTCCAAGTACTCCAATAGTAAGGCTGTAGATGCCCGACACCATTCAGAGCATAATATTGGGACCTAAAGGTAGGAGTTCGGGGCTGGGCGTTTTACCAGTACACTAGGGCTTCAACCTGTACGGCTGTAGCTTTCGGGGCTTAGAGTTTTGAAACCTTTAAGGTTTAAGGCTTAAGGCTGAAGGACTTATGTAAGTCAGGTCTTTGGGGCTTCAGGGATTCTGAGGGAGTTGATCCACAGAACCTCACCCACCGCCCAGTACACACCAGAAACCTGCTTGACGCATCTCTATGCACGAACCCCAGCACTTCTACGTTGCTCTCTGCGAAACCCTAAACCCGGCAAAGCAATTCAGCAAAGACACTTAGAGTAGTCGAAATGTTCCACAGCTTGCACCATGCACCAAACAAAGAAGACTGCCATGCCAAGAACTACCACTGTGCAGACCATGACGGCGACGATGTCCTGAGCATTTGATTGGTTGGGGCAAGGATCGCATGATACGGAATTTAGAGCGAGCCCCAAATTTCGAAAGCCAAACCTACATGGTACAAAGCCGGCACCTCACTCACCAGACCACACCTTAAATAACAAATCCAAGCCCCTAAACCCGGAAGCCTGAGCTCCAAGTTCTCTCTCAAGTATGGAGATGCGAAGATCATGATGACCCATTTGTCCTGAATAACAAGCAAATAGGTGGATCTGGACGGTAGCAACCCGTACAGTCGGATCCTTCAAGCCTTACACAATGTTCCCTCAACTCAAACCCAACCTATGCCGCTCAGCTTCAAGGGTGTCCTTATCAAGCCTGGACCATACATAGACACAGACATACAGACATACATACATACATACATACATACATTCATACATACATACATACATACATACATACTTGCATGTGCTTATAGAGATACAAAAACTTCTGTAAATAGACATAAATACGAAAATATTTACATAAAATGCGTGTGTGTACATATATGTAGGTGATGTACATGTTTTGTACACAATACACAGGATTCTGTCCACGCAAATGCGATACCCGAAAACGGCATGTACACGTGGGACGGTATGACGATGAACCGAGATGTGAACTGAACTTAGATGGCATGGCCATGCATCGAGACTTGAAGAGCACACTCACGGCAATCGCGAAAGGAGGATCCAGAAAGCGTACCAAAATGCAGCCATCGGCTCCCAAAAACCTTGTCCCCAAGTTGAGAGCCTCCTGCATGCAGCGTGACGCCAGTTTTGTGTCCTCAGAATGGAGTCGTGCAAGGTGCTTTGTTTGTTTTGTTGTGGCGCTGCACAGCTAGATATCTATACCCGATACCGCAAGCCCTATAGTCCGAACCGGGGACGATGCCACCACGGCTCAAGCCAGGTCCACAATCTCGGGACCAATATCAAGCACGGCTTTGGGCTTTTATGAAGTCAATGTCGACCCTACGTGCACATGTTCCCATACATTTCCATACGCCCAACCATACTTGAAAGCACCATGCCTGCGACGCATTGTTGACCAGGTGGCGACGCGCTGCAACATAGACAAGTAAACTTTGCGTATCACCATGCTTCGTAACCGCGGCTTCCGGGTGTACACAACAGTTCTGCAAGCACAAAAGCTCTGGTATCCGTAGTACTAATTCTCTCGAATGGCCGTGCAGATGACATGCAAGGCTCCACTTGGTCGAAAGACGTGACTTACGTGTGGAACACTGTGCGACACATTGTGCTGGGTTCAACGCATGTAGCTGCTTCGACGAAACTGTGCGTTGCTCTGGCCGCAGCAATGCAATGTTGGACAATCAAAGGCGCACTGACAAAGCGAGGGCGGGTATGTCGCCAGCCCAGCCGAGCCAAGGCCGGCATTCTGGACTGCAGGATTTCAAGACTGCAAACATTGAGATTTAGAAGAATGCATCTCCCGAGCTTTCTCGAGCCTCGTGAATCAGCCCTTGTGGGAGAGACAATCTCGCATGAAGGCATTTGTCCCATGACATCAACAGGGGTGCTACACCCAGTCACCACATAGGATGCATTGCTGCAATACGAAATTAATGAAATTAGCCTCCCAGAATGTTCAGAAATCATGTAGTTTGACATCGCGCATGAAATGTCAGCTACTCAAACGTCGACCGGACGTGCAAAACTGTTTCTGCCACTGCAGGTGCTGCAACCGATGCGGAAGTCTTGGAAACAAAATGATTGCTCGAATACCCAAAAATCAGAAATGTGTTCAAGCTTCACGTGGAAATGCCGGACAAGTCCTTAATTTTCATGGATATCGAATGTGCAGTGTCCAGAAAATCAAGATTAGGCAGCTGAAGTAAGGCCTCACATCGCGCAGGGACGTTTGCCTGATTTCCAACTTTTAGGGTTTCGGCTGGTCGGGTTTTGGGTACGGGTCTGGTGATTAAAGAAGCGCATGCCTACCTTAGGGTTCCAGCCTGGAATAGCGAAGGATGCAATGGGTTGAGGTTAGCACCTTACAGCAACGCTTGCGCGTGACCTATATCCGAGCGAAAACGAAAAGGTGTTACAGTTCGAAGGCAAATGTCTACTGTCGCTCGAACTTTGGTTGAAACTGGTGCGTGATGTTGTCTCAAAGCGGTCTCGCTATTTCACACACATGGCTCACAACTAGGGCGACACGGAAATCACGACGTATTCGCACACAAATCAACCGACGCCTTGTTGAAGCAGTTTGCCGGCTGAACCTCATCAACGCATCACCGGCGAACTCAAACATGGATGCCAAGCCATCTAAACCCTGAGCCCTAAACCTTAAACCCCAAATCCCTAAACCCTCAACCGCTAAACCCTAAACCCTAAAGTAAACACACAGTCAAGGAAACATCAGGTAGGAAGACCTGTACCCAAAAAACCCTGAACGGCATTTGCGGCTTAGGGCCTACCTAGACCCCAAAGAACTTACCTTTTTAAGGACCTATATAAGGAAATCATTATAAGGAACCCTAGAAAGGGAGGTTCTTTGGGGTCCAGGTAGGGTTTAGGGATCCTTTATCGCCGACTGACAAGAGTTCGCTACCCTAAACTCTAAACCAAACTCTAAGCTCTGTTACTGACTCATGTTGGGGTTTCGGGTTTAGTTATGTTTTTAGGATGCAGGGGTTTGGCTCAGGGCTTAAACTCGCGAATGAAACATAGATCCCGTTTGCATGTAATTGGGCACCTGGCTGATATTCATGCTTAAAAATAAAGCGGGCAACATTTATTTGTTTGAGGTCTTGCGCATGACGAACGGGAAAAACAAACTTGTGTCTGGCGTATTTCTGTCATGACCGTAGCGGTTCATGTACATGAGCAGTTTTGCCGTGAAGTACACATACTTATTAATTCCATGAGCCCTTTCCACTAAGGCCTCGGTGTCTACCAAACCCGAAACCCTAAACCCTAAACCCGAAACCCTAAATCCTAAACTACATAGGGATGTGGACCGCCTAGCTTTTAGGCATTGGCATGGGAGCCCTGTGATCACCGGGTCGACAGACGATTTCAGTAAGAACGGAAACAGAACAAGACCATCTCCAGGAAAGGACAAGTAAAATCGTAGGTTTAGGGGTTTAGGGTTTAGGGGTTTAGGGTTTAAGGTTTGGGCTTTAGGGTTTAAGGTTTTGGGATTTAGGCTTTAGGGTTTAAGGTTTAGGGCCACATATTGGGGCCTGGGGTTGCTGCAAAAGATTTGTGGGCAATCTGCACCTGCAGTGCCGTAGCTGAACAACGTCTATGCGAAGCCTTTGTTCTATTTGTGCAGTTGCGCTATGCTTCTTGCTGCTCCTTATGTGACGCTACATGCTACCGTAATGTTGTGCTCGTTTCCGGTGTACGCTTGGTTTACATGAATCATCTCCTGCTGTAGAAATACTCCAGCTCCCATCGACTCTCTTCATACTCTACTATTTGTTGTCTTGTCAACTTGTGTCATACCTTATAATCCCGCCGGCATCATTCGTGATTCTGTGTTGCATGTTGACTCACCTAGTGACTCGCGTACTGTTGTTTACTGTTCTTTACAGGGTCATGGAGCCATCTTCCAGCTATTGCATTGCAAGCTACAACGTGTGCAATTCTATGTGCCTGGCCAAATGCAAAATGATACAGTTTGCTGCATGCGCATGAACTGCGGGTGTTCGGTATTGCACAGCCTGTACTCAGAGCAGCCTGCATGTGCTATCGGAAATCTGCCTCTCGAAACCCGTATATTGCACAACACATCGAGCTGGCTCGAAATACAAGGGGGTTCTACACCATCAGGTCTGCACTGCGCCATGACTGGTCATACATGGCATTGTGAAAGGACATGTGCTAGGGTTTGAACTCCATGTGCGAAACACTTTAGAAACATGAAAGCACTTCCCGTCGTGTGTTCCACTGCCTGCTAAGTCAAGCCAAACTATGCTTTCCCATGTATTTCACACTACACCGTACTGTGGTGCGCGTTAGTTTTTGCCGGAATGAAATATGCTCTGTGATGTTCCACTCGAATGTGCTGCACCTTGCTGCATCACTATGTTGCAGCTTGCTGTATCATGTTATCCCATGCTATAACTTCTGCTGTATAAGCTCGCAATAAGCTCCAGTCTCTTCTGCTTGCTGTACTATGATCCGCTAACATTGCTATTAGACTAGCTAGGTCATGCGATACTGTACTATTCGATCTTACGGTGCTGTGAAATGCTGCACGACCAGATAGTTTACACTGAACTACGACCGAACAAAATCCGCATGACGTTTTGCATCAGCACACAGCAACAGCACGACAAAGCATCAACAAATGCATATGTGTGTATATATGTACATTTGTATATACATAAATATATATATATATATGTACGAATAGGAAAATGTCTGTCTATCTATCTATCTATCTATCTATCTATCAAACGATCTATGTATCTATGTATCTATCCATCTATCTATCCATCTCTCTCTCTCTCTCTCGCTGTGTCTCTGTGTGTACAAAATATAGATGCATGAACCTGCATGTGTGTGCGTGTGTTTGTGTGTGTGTGTGTGTTTGTGAGTGTGTGTGTGTGTGTGTCTATGTCTGTGTGTCTCTGTGTGTCTGTGTGTGTGTGTCCGTGGGTGTGTGTGTGTGTGTCTGTGTGTCTGTGTGTCTGTGTGTCTGTGTGTCTGTGTGTCTGTGTGTCTGTGTGTGTGTGTGCGGGTGTGTGTGCGTGTTTTTGCTTACGTTGCATATATATATATATATCTCTCTCTCTCTCTCTCTCTCTCCTTCTCTCTCTGCATATCCGCCGATGTCTCCCTAAATATATACAGTTGTGTTCCTTTTTGTGTGTGTGTGTGCAGTTACAACTTTTACTTCGCTACTAGTACTCCTAAGCCCTATGCATTGAATCAGCCAGGGGTGGGCTGGAGTTATGCGGCACGAATCTTATGCACCTACGACTGAGCCGCAGTTTGGC